TTTGCCTGTAAAATAAAGATCTCAAAGAAATTTAGTAAAATCACTATCTCAGAAAGGATAATTTGTAAAACCGTAAGTGCTTTCCTTTTAAACATAAATTAGAAGTTTGTACGTGCATATGTAACATGCGAAATACTAGGAAGAGGTTTATATTTTTTTCTGAGTTTTAATGCTCTCAAACCTGAAGCAATGGGTCAGTTCCTTAAGTCTTAAGCAATTTAAAGGTTAAAACAATAAAAGACCACTCTCCCCAGGTCAATGAGAAATTTTCAGCTACAACCAACTTGTTCACTTGTTCGTATCAAAAAATGGCTAAATTAATGTCAACCTTTATATTTGCAGTCTCCTGTTAGTGTCTAAGAAAGTGTTCAGCCCCACTGAAAACCCCAAAAGAAATTATACTGTTAACTTGTTTAGTAGATATTAAGTCTTGATTAAAAGTCCTGTTAAGTTCTGAACACAAGTACTAGAGGTGTAATGTCTAGGGAGAAAGAGTTAACCATTTTAAGATTTTGTTATTAAAATTTGAGTTACATTTTAGCATATTAGAGAAATCATCACTGTTCCACTTTAAACCACAATGCTAGAGGTATTTCCCCCAAAGCTTTAAAATACAATTATATGGTTTAGTACATGTAAACATCACTTTTCCCCCTTATAACCATAGCAAAGTAAGCTATGCTAACATTATGTAACTTTACAAAATATTTAAAGAAATGTTTGTCAGAAAATAACCCCAAACAGAATAATTTCCAGTTTTTTTTTTTTCATAACACAAAGGTTTAAGAACACTCAAGGACAATTAGATTTGTTTTATAAATCACTGCATTGTTCTTACTATTTTCTCATTCTGAAAATTTACACCTTTTAATCAGCTCCAGAACTGTGAAACTCTTACCTTTCTATTCAGGGATCCATAATTAAACTCCTTTAATTTCAAAAGGCTTAAATTTTCTTGTTAGACTTAATATATTTTTTAAATGTTTTATAAATTTATCAGATGGTATAATAACGTTATAGAAATTTGTTTTCTATTACTAAAATTTAGCACAGGCACAGTTTTAACAACCAATCTTTAAATTTGATCATTCCTAAGTTAACCCACATTTTTCTACACATAACATAAACTAAAGACAAGACACATTAAAAAAAGGGCAGAAATGTTGGATAAAATACTGTAACTGCCACTTCTTAGGTTCTACTCCAGTGACATAAGTTACATTAGCCTAGAATTGTTGCAAAATGATTTTCAAATTTCCACCCAACTTCTACACTCTGGGTATTAGAGACATGTACACACACTAGTGACTCCATTTGGCATCAGTATGTCTTGTTTTCTTATTTTCAACTTCCAGAAAGCAGAGTCTAAGGATCACTAAAAGTTTTTACATCATTAAAAATTACCAGAGAACTAGTACATAACCAGTTAACAGCTTTATCATGAACTGGTAACATTGGTAAAATATTTGTTTACTAGAAAAAAGACAGTCTCCCTCACAAATCTAAATTCCATGCTTAAACAACTTTCTTTATACACTGCTTTAAACAGAATGAAATTTTTACCAAATTTAAAAACTTAAGTAGTGTACAAATATCGTAATTTATTAAATTTTAAAATAAAACATTAAGAAAGCAAAGAGGCATATCCTAATTTTACAGATTATTGTGCATTTATCAAAGTAAATAACCTTTATACAGTCATAATGGAATGCTTGATAACCAAATAATCAGAGAAAAAATATTATAAACATAGTAAAATCTGACATGCAATCCTAGTAGTGAAATGTTTTAGTACAAAAAGATAAAATTTGATTGAAGAAACAAAGTTACATATATAAACTTCACAATGACAAATTAAAATTGCACTTTTAGTACGTTTTATCTCTGGAACATTTAAAAGTGGAAGGTGAATCTTCAGTAATATTTAATTTTCAAAATCTTCTGGTCACAATCCCCACCAAACTCAACAGGCCGGGACAAGTGCAATACCATACAGAAACACAGCATTGCAACTGATCCCAACCTGTGTAGAAAGGGGTTTGATTTTCCCTTACTTTTCTACAGACTTTTCACTACCACAGTCAGTTTTGCATGGATTTGCACAGCAGAATATCACACAGCTGGATGCAAACCTGCAAAACTAACCATAGAACAGTGTTCAGTAACTGGACAGTTTGACTGGGCGACAGGCCGAGGCTGGAGTTCTACAGCTAGCAGTACTTTAAGTGCTCATAATGCAGTAGATAACTAACCACTACCTGCACTATAAGCACTTTAGTGCTACAGAAGCTGTCACATCAGACACACCAGGCGGATTCTACATCGATACAATAAAAGTACACAAAATTAGTAAAAATTACTTGAAGGAAATAGCAGGCCACCATCAGTTTTGCATAGATTTGCACAACTACATTCTTCTTGTAGTGCAACTATGCAAAACTAACAGAGGACTGCAAACAAAAAGCATTAAAACACCTATATACTTGCTTGGCTTGGCTTGGATGAAAACATAACTTCTTATGCCAGAAGGAGCACTTAGGGCAGTAGATGCTAATCTACTTCACTATCTGCACTAGATGCACCTTAGAACAAAAAGCACTCAACACCAGCAGGCCCTGCGCTTGAAAGCCCACCAATGGCTCCCCGAGGCAGCTGTCACCATAATGCTACAAGTGCCTTCACTGCAGTAGATGCACATATCACTACCTGCACTGTAAGCACTTTGACATTACTCTGACTGGTCACAATCTTCAGGTTTTACAAGGTGATGTTCTCTTTATTCCTGCTAAATTTTAAATAAATAATTAGAATAATACCTCAAACTCTTACAGGCTATAAAACATACAAAATTTAGCATAATCCTTAATGGGGAAGAGAAAACGAGTTCAATTACCTTAAACCCGTGAGTTCCATTCAGAAGCACATTTAGACTTTAAAAATAGAGAACGCTTTTTTTTTTACAAGACAATCATAATTAATCATCATTCTAATACTGTAAAAGAAAGTGGTGGCTCTTCCTTTACCTTCCATTCCCAAAGGCATACTTACAAAATCAAAATCAGATTATAAATGAGAATATAATTTGACTCATGTACCTTTTAGAGGAAATCTTCACATCCACATGGAAAAACATCTTTTCTTCTGCTTCCAATTAGCAATTATTTGGTAAACTAATTCATAAAATTACTGTTGAGACTATACTTCAAGTTTATCAACTGGTCGATCTTATATATTCCACTTAAATTATTTTTAAATCTTGGGAACACTACATATTAGATTTTATCATCCAATTTAAAGCAGTTTTAAAATTACATTTGTAAACTGTGCATCAGTTTCCAAAGACTTATAAAGATATCTGGATTGTACTTTTTACTAACTTAAAAATTAGCTGACCCAGAGTTAATTTTCTAGAAAATGTAAATGGACAAACTACCCATTTCACCTCTTGAAAAACCCAATTACATTTTAATTGTTCAAATTAAAGTCAAGAGAAAGTTATTTTAAAGAAAAGTTAAAGAAAATTAGAATACACTCACCCACTTGCGAAAACTTCGTTTTCAGCAACTATCCTTAGGAAAAGCTCTTGGCGCAGTTAGGTCCACGTGTATGAATGACTGCGATGGGAGGGAAAGGGAGAAAACACAAATTTACTACCACTGTCCAGATCCCTATTTAAATGTGTTCTTTTCCAACCCCTTTATAAAGTCAATTACAGCCCTCAAAAAACCCAAGATAGCCAAGCAATACTAGTAGAGTTTAAAAGACCAACAACGTATGGGTGAAAATTCGTAAGGAAATAAAGTTGAAAAATCCACAAGTATTAGATCCACATCTTATTTTAAAAGACCCTGAAAGACTCCAGCACGATCGACAGCAATCTTAACCTCTATCGCTCAGCTCCAACGAGGGAAACGCAGCGCAGGGACTATTCTTCCCCACCCCTCCCCCATTCTAGACCTCGTGGCCGCAGCCGGGATAAAGAGTTGTTTCCCCCACGACGTGGTCGGGACGGCGCGAGGCCGATTCTTCCTCGTGGC